ATATAGTTTATCAACTATTACACATTCACAATCTACTCATCAAGATCACTTTTAACTGACAAAATGTTTTTTTTATACATTGATAGCATAGTTATGTATTCTTGTTTGCTTTATAGTAACCGAACCAGTATCTATAGGGTACCTTTTTTTTAAAAAAAATTTATTGAATTGAGCATAGAAACATACATTAAGGTAATGAATGTATGTTATCATTCTATGTTCACAATGTATATCAACTAGATATTGAGAAGTCTGGATCAATGTGTTTTTTTAAAAGACATTCTTTTCAAATTTTATCAAGTTAAATATAGTTTTATTTATATTGATTTGATTACATGTAAACCAGACTAGAAATTAGCTATTTCATTTAATGCACCTAATATATATAGGGACAGATCAGTTATGATTGATTGTATAGGGTTGCAGGGAACATACTCACTGATGATAATAGATAATCGTACAATATAACGAGACTGAAATTTTTTTCTATACGATTTATTCATTACTAATTATTATTGTTGTATATGCTACTTATATCTGTCGACATAAGTAATATGTGACACCAATCAGAAGTGAAATGTCTGGTAACAGAAGTTTAAGGAGATCGGATCGAAGAGTAAGGAATGTAAACAGAACATAATGTAATAAAACCAGGAATGAGGGAATGATGAAGTTTGTAAGAGATATCTGATGGAAGACGTGTAACTTAATTACTTACACCTGTTACCCCCAAAGGGGCATAAGCCTCCGACCAGCATTCTCCAACCGATTCTGTCCTAGTCTTACCTTCCTAGTTTTATCCAGCTTTTGTTCATTCTTCTCATGTCTGTCTCTATATTTCTCGGCGTAATGAAATCTTTGGTCTTCCTCTTCTTCTTTGACCTTCAGGATTTCATGTGAGGACTTGTCTTGTGACGCAGTTGGAAGATTTGCCCAATGTGTGTCCTATCCACTTTCAGCGCTTCTTCCTGATTTCTTCATCCGCTGGAATGTGATTTGTTGTCTTCCACAGTATAAGGTTGCTGATAGTATTTGGCCAACGGATCCGAAGTATCTTGCGTAGACAACTGTTAATAAACATTCGTATCATCTGGATGATGGCTTTCGTAGTTATCTAGGTTCCCGCCGCATACAGTAGAACTGTGTCGACATTTGTATTTAAAATTCTTATCTTGGTGTTGGTTGATAATTGTTTTGAGTTCCAGATGTTCTTCTGTCGTAAGTACGCTGCTCTTGTGTTCATCAATGATGATGCCGAGATATGTAAAGGTTTTTGCATCCTCCAAAGCCTCACAGTCAAGTGTGATTCGACTGGTGCATGCTGCTTTTCCCTTTGTGTGTTTTGAGACCTACTACTGCTGAGGCTGCTGCTACACTGGTCATCTGCTGCATTTGTTGTTGCGTGTGTGACAGAAGAGGAAATGAGGTACTAAATGTATGGTTTCGATATTTTATCAAGACATTTCGTAATATTATACTGAACTATAGTCTCATCACAATTGGTCTTCTCCACTTGAGTGTTCATTCATTGCATTATTTTCATGAAAGCTACTTAAAAGCCATAATCAAATGAAATATTTGGAATTAACTCCAACATTTCATAATTCATTTTCATATCTTTACATATTTAGTTGTGGTAACTAACTGATCATGTGAATGTTTTTCTAATTGTACATCTGTTGAACTACTTACTGATGGCACACTTTAGAGCATACTCTGATATATATACATTATTAATTGATGCGTATTCATTTATAAAAAATCAATATATTGTTGTAGATCGACAGTGAGGAACAAATGACAGGAAGAAAAATAGTTGTCTTTCAGAGTTGAATTCATAAAATCGATCTAAGATAGACCATGATTGAAAATTTGAAAGCACTGGACGGTCACCGAGTGTAAGATACTTTAGTATATGAACTACTAAACATGTGAATACATGAAAAATGGATCGAGGAAAAGTCTTCTTTATTTTGAAAATCAAGATGAGTCAAAATTAATAACGTCAACAGACTGGTAGGTCCTGGATTTGAATCTCACAAGGCGGGTTCGTGGATGCGTACTACTGAGGAGTCCTACAACAGGCCGAAACAGCTGTCCAGTGCTTCCAGGTTTTCCATGATGGCGGTCTAGTTTCAATTGTTTCATGATCTCAACCATATAAAATTACTAAAATCTCCACACAAAAAAAACCCTTCCGATAAATACTTAGTTGGCGATTGCTAAGACTTTTAGTTATTTTTAGAATGTTTACACAAGATATAAGTTTATTCCATTACTATTGTTTCTGAACTTATGGTTATCACATTCATCAAAGTGAGGTTAACATATTTTGGCATAAAATTATCCGCCTTCTATTTATATATATACAGTAGTATATATATAGTTTTTTATGCTAAGAAAGATTATTTTTATGCCTCGAAAATGTATACAATAGCAATTGCATTGATATTAATAATAATTCGGTCACTAATCTAACTAACAATATTTAACGCTAGTTTAAACAAGTTGAAAAAAAGAAGGGGTTTTTGTGGAGATTTAATATTTTCATAGTTGAAAGTGTTAGTCAATTGAAGCTAGACCACCAGGGAAAACCTGGAAGCACTGGATGATCGTTTCGTCCTATTATTGAACTCTTCAGCAGTACTTATCCACAATCTAGTGGTCTAGCTTCAATTGATTCATGCTTTCAACTATGAAGTTGAAAAACGCTATTTGTAATTATGAATAACTCAGGTGATGACGAACTCTAAACAAAACACTGGATGCTACAGATCACATCGCTTTGTTAATTTAATAGTTGAATTCATGAATCAATTAAAGCTAGACCACCATGGAAAATCTAAAAGCACTGGATGACCATTTCATCCTAGTATGGACTCCTCAACAGTGCTCATCTGTTGTGTTTTTATAAGGATAATGAATGATAACTTTGGGATTCATTTATGACCGATACTATGCTATATATTTTTTATCGTATAATTGCTAAACAACTAAACTATTTATATTCATGTCCCTCCTATTATAAGCTTTATTTTGACTTATGAACTATTGTCATACAATTTACCGTTCTTGAATCATGCCCTGTCTATCATTTACTATCTCCCTTATTCACAGCCACATTTAGTTGAATCGTGTACAAATGTTATTTTCTATTTTATGGTACGATGTGATCAGTTTGATTGGTATATAAACTCAGTATGCTTGAAATAAACGATTCATACCTAAGAGGCTGTTCTGAACTTAATTGGCTGGGCTAGACAGAAAGCAGGATCGACAAGTAATCTAGACTTCTCGTACGCTTTTCGTGTTTCACTGTTCTAATCGATAATTCACTGCTCTCTAATTGAAGTTATTATCATGTTATACATTAATAGGGCATCCACTTGGTCACAAGTTATAACATCATCCACGATCCCTCACACGGGATTCAAGTGCAGAATCTTTGGTCTCGCGTGCGAACACTTAACCTCTAGACTACTGGCCAAGCATCCAACAGTGGCCTAGGTTTAAATGACTAATGAATTCAACTACTAAATTACTATAGTGTCTACAACACCCATCACTGATTATAAACATCAGTTTATTCAATAGTATTATAGTGAACGAAATACTAGTTGGGGACAATCGAATGTCTTGAAGCACAAATTACAGAATATCTCACTAAATTGTGATAACCATACTGTGAACAGTTAATATGCAAAATAACAATCAATTGTCTTAATCTTAACTGTTCCTTCTGCAAATATCAGTTCATATTTGTTTATGCATTTTCCTAACAATTGCGCTTCATTTCAGTCCGTTCCTTATCGGTCTTCTGCCAAAATACATTCTATGTCTAACCATCACCATATACTACTTATATGGATATAAGTAGAACACACTACAGTATCATTCATATCTTGCTTATAATCCCTAAATCAAAGTCACTACAAAGTCAATACAAAGTCAGTAACTAAAGTTTTCAACCATGTAACATAAAGTCTCATCAAAAGCATTCAATATTCAATAGCTAAGAAAAATAATCAAATATACAATTCATTATTGATCATTCAATGTATTTTAAACCTAACAACAACAAACACACACACACCCACACATACATAATGGTAACTGGAAAACATTATTTTACACCTAGAAACTGAAATTGAAAAAAAAAAGGAGAACTCAGCATGAATCAATCAAAAAGACAACGACAACAACAACAATTCTCTTTAAGATTCTATGAAATGATAGACAATAATGAATATACTACTACTACTACTACTAATAGTAATGAATTATAGATATTGTTTATGATTGATTATTCATGGTTATGAGTCACATGTATATCCAATTAACACTGTTGCTATACACATATAAATAGATATAACGATTGAAATGTTTAGTTACAGGGTATCCACTTCTATTTCATATATATAAGTAATCTATATATATTTATGAATTTTTTAAAAGATTAAGATTATTATATTTTGATTAAAGAAAGTGAGTAACTTTCATTGTTTATATAAATGTACTATTTTAACTTGAATGATTGATATCATGAGTTCATTCAAGTTAGATCATTGTTAGATGTCAGCTAAGTGGTTTAGAAGTTAAATGTTCGTGTGTGAACCTCTAGAATACTGAGTCGGTCAGTATCCAATGGTGTTAAGATCTAACTTCAACCGATCCGCGAGATTGAGCGGCACATCCACCAATGTCTTCAGTGAATTACTATCTCACAATAGATCATGTTGGACTGCATTGGTCACGTCTTCTCACTAGAACTCCAGGAAATACTTCTTGAAGTCAGTCAATAGTGAACATATGATGATTATAATCAGAATAGTGGTTCATTTTCATGGACACTAACACCGTGGTCTAGAAGTTAACTGTTTACGCGCGAGACCAATAGGTCCTGGATTCGAAATCTCATGAGCGCGGTCGTTGATGTACACTGCTGAGGAGTCCCATACTAGAATCTAATGGCTATGCAGAGCTTTCAGGATTTTCATGGTGGTCTAGCTTTAATTGACTCATGAATTCAATCATTACATTACCAAAATTTTCACAAAATCTGATAATGAAATGCTTTGTATAGTGGCTAGTTTAGTTTGTAAATGATTTAATAGTAGAGTTTTCATTCATAGTTCTGAATAGATTATTAAGAGCACCCACATGAACTACACCTTTTTTAAAGTTGTTATTTCAGGAAATAGAATGGATCTGAATATATTGAAATAACATGGAATAAATATGTATCCTGAATAAATATAGTCTAGTAAATTAGTGTTGTGAATTGAACAGCAACCCACATACACAAACACGATCGATCTAAGTAATGTAGAAATATTCGTAGATGGAAGTTCACAACTAGTCATGTAATTTTGTGTTAAAACCGATTGGATTAAAATGGTACACTTATCAAACACATGATTATTTGGTCTTCCAAAGAGACCAAAAGAGTATAACCTTTTATTCACCAGTGATATATAGACCGATCGCCATAGATTGATCTCAACTGGTGTATCACTGAAAAACAGGTAAATACCCAGTCGTCTTGCCTTAGTATAATTGTGTACTCACTAGTGACATGATTTATGATGAGATCAGAAGCTTCTTTGAGATGTAATGAATACTGGATTTCAACCATGTAAAGAATGAAGCAGTTGTTTTCACTGGCACTCCATGTTATACATACATACTTACTTACTTACGCGTGTTACCCCTCGTGGAGGAGAATAGGCCGCTCACCAGCATTCTCCATCCAACTCTATCCTGGGCAATCCTTTCCAGTTGTTATTCATCCTTTTCATATCTGCTTCTATTTCCCGGCGTAATGTGTTCTTTGGCCTTCCTCTATTCCGCTTCCCTTCCTTATTCCAAGTTAGGGATTGCCTCGCGATGCAGTTTGGTGACTTCCTAAATGTATGTCAGATCCACTTCCGACGTCTTCTCCTAATTTCCTCTTCAGCTAAAAGCTGGTTTGGAATGAGGACTGTCAAAAAGCCTTTCAGAGGTCTAATATAAATACTGCTTAAGATTCGTATATCAGGACAAAATAACTGTTGAATGTTCTCTAGTTTCTGATAGTACCCAAACTAATTTCAATAAATAATGAATGCATTCGCAAAATTTGTTCAGTGAAATTTTCGACAGTCTCAGCAAATTTGTTCTTGATTCACCATAAACACAAGGTACAGTGTGAATTGAAATTCATTTTAGGGTTCTAATCAGCACTAACTAGAAGACGAAGAAGAGTTTTCGCCTACCGTATTAAACTTATGTGAGTATATTACCGATAAAGTTTCAAACAATTGTCCCACGTTAGGATCACTTTAAATCCTGGTTGCAGGTACATACAGCTGGCGAGTCCCAAATAGGACGAAACGCGCGTCCTGGATTCCACTGCTAGTCACTATCCATCTGGTCGTTGTTTTATCTAATCTAATAGACTAACTACCTTGTGTTGAGATGCTATCCGGCATCACATTCTAAAGTCACCTATCAGAATTCTAATTCTAATTTGTCCATTCCGTGTCTGGTATTTCTCTTATAGCTTAGTATTTCAAACCTGATCAATTATGCGTCCAGTCAGCACCGTTAGCTTACAGCCAAAGGAGCTAAGCCTCTGTTGAGCAGGTTTTCTCAAGCTTCCGTCTCTGCTCTTTCTTGAGTCTCAAAATTCAGCAGCCAGCTTCTGTTATAATAATGTTTCGAACATGTATGTGTTAATATACAGAAAAACTGAACTTCATCACATCACGGAATGAAAACTCACAATTATACGTAAACGAGCCAAAAGTGGCTGTGAATAAAGCAAGCTATGAATGGTTGTTTAGTAGTAAAGTAGGAATAATAAGTAGTATAATAATAGGTAGGTTGAAAGGAAGCTGATGATTAATGGAATATATAGACGCTGTAATCCAGTCACTCGGTAGATTATACAATAGGAATATATATATTATAATAATCACTAAAATATTATAAACAAAGATGGATACTGGCTAGCAGTAGAATCCAGGACGCGCGTTCCGTCCTATTTGGGACTCGTCAGCTGGATGTACCTGCATCTCAGAGTTGATGTTCACTCTGAGACTCGAATCAACCAGGGTTCTCTTCAAACGCCAACGTGTTATCCACTCAGCTACTCAGTAGCTGGATCCCACTGCTAGCCGCTTTCCATCTTTGCTTATATTGCTTGTGAATTAAGGCTACATCAAAGCGATCCGCACAGTATGCACATATACCAATAAGAGAATTATCATCAATGGCAAGATTCGAACAAATAATGCTAAGTGAATTTAATCCCTAAAATAGTTCTAGGAATAACCATTTCTTCAGTCTTCATCCTACTGTATCATACTCAATCTATAATCTATATATTTATTTCAACTTAAACATTACCACCTGTAATCTTCGCTTAGTTCAAACTTGAATGAATAAACTTTGTTCCTAAAATGATCTTGATTTAAGGTGAAAATCTAAGTTAATTAACCCCTATTACTTCTCATTTTCCAATCTTTATACAGTCTATCATCTACTTACGTTAGATTCAATCATTATAGGTTACCATAAACCATTGAAAAACTATTAAAAACAATATGATACTAGAGAGATACATCGTTCTAGTTAACGACTATAAAATAGTACATCTTTTGTTTATGACCAATTAAGCTGAGAAGAATGGCATGGTTAATAGATTTAGTATTCACTTTTCCTAACTATGCTATTACATATTCGCGAGTAGATAAGGATAAGAAACTTTGATTCTAATTGGCTCAGCATGAACGCTTAAATACATAAACATACATAAATGAGTGCATCATTGGTATCTTATTCTTAAATTGCTGAGTCACAAAATGGTTATGTTGAAGACGTTGTGTGTGATTTAGCAATATTAAAAGTCGTCTTAATGGATCTTTTTGTACAATAAATAAGAATCACATTCACTATATCACATTTGAAATCAAGTCTTAAGTACAGAGTTTCCATTACAACAGTAGCAATTCATGTCTTAGTTTTCAGTTCAGTTATGTATTTCAATATGAAGTCATTCACTCAGTCAGGTAATCCTGTTAGCCATCGTGGAACATAAGCCTCTGACGAGTGATCACCAAACAAAACTATTTATAGCTCTGCTTTTCAGTTCTTGACAATTACTATACATTCTTTTTATGACTGCTTCCGACTCGCAACACAAGGTATTATTTATTCTCCTTCTTTTCCTCCTGCCTTAGAAATTCAAAATTAAGACATACTTTATAATGCAGTTTGACGATTTCTGTAAAGCTTCACCTATCCATCTCCATCGTCTCTTCCTAATTACCATCTCAAATGCATGATTCTTTGTTTTCCTCTACAACAGTAGATTATTACTGTTAATGTCTGACTAACGGACAACATTACTAGGATATCTATTTCGTAAAATCATCAACATTGATCTGTCCAGTTCTTCGTCTATACTATCCTCACAACAAACTAATCGAATTCTGTAACTCAGATATTTAACCACAGAATAGACGAGTATAGAAGATTTGCGAATAAATGTTTCGCTTCAACTCTGGATTGAGCATTTGTGCTCCATAGTAGAATTTTTAGTGTGAAGTTGCAATCAATGAAATCCAATCATGAAAGTAGTGAAATAAATATTGCCATTCGCAATGGATGATGTTCATCTTATGTAGTGAATTGACTCACTTCAGAGATGAGATCCTAACTCACCAGTTCTAAGCACATTTGATCGATTATTGATCTAAAACGTCTCTGTTCTATGGTAACATTAAGAGAGAGAGGTTGATACTACTGAGGAGTCCTACACAGAAAGCAGATTCATGGAAATGACACTTGGAAAACACTGTCTTTCAAATGAACAACAATTACAAATCTCCTTTAATTAAACTATAATTTGGGGATGAGTCAATGGGGATTAGGTGAACTACTTCCTACTTTTGCCACACACATTGAAACCGAATAAATTTATCTCAGATTATGTGAAAAGGACAATGGAAATACACTTGTATACTTTGTATAGATGTTCGAAACTATTGGCAGCAATTAATTTCTGTCCTCATAAGACTGACAGTTACACGTCGAATGTCGACGTCATTCTATGTAGATTGTATACAACAGATGAATCAGTGAGTTTTGATTCTGTTCATTTTATCATACAGTGAGTTATCTAACAGATCACATTGCTAATGATACACTGAATAATAGGTGAGTTGATGATGTGATAGTGTTAATCATGGTAGCGATTTTTCTACTTGGATTCTTCATATTGCTTTTGCCTCACAAGTTCAGTGGGGAGATTGAACATATAACCTGGAATTGTTTCTAGAATGATTCGTTGTTATGAGAAGGATTGACAGAACAACGTTCAAGGTGAATATTTCAACACACAATGAAATGATATTGTTGAGTGGAATCGCTACAATGTTGTCAGTGTAATAGTGGTAATGAATCTTGAGAAACTGATAGACTGACTATAAATCCTATGTTTGAACAGGTTTGATTGACTCAGTTGTGAAATACTAGTAAGTTGAAGAGATCCATTTGTTGTTGGTTGACACTGGTGAAATTGACTGTAGAATCACTCCTGACTTGTTCTCATATTATCGTTGCACCAATCAGATACGAAACGAATAAATAGCAAGTGGAAAGAACTGCAAAGGATTTCCCAGGACAGAGTTTGATGGAGTATCTTAGTGGGCGGCCTTTACTCCTCAACGAGAGGTAACAGGCGTAAATAAGTAGGTAATCATCCATCTTATGAAGTTGTTTATCTACCTTTCTTTCGATGAAGTTGAATGGATCTGTTCATATTGTACAGATTGTCTCTAACTTAACTACTTTCACATTAATTATGTACAATAGTTAGATTGTGGTTACTATTCGAATCTCAGAAATCTTGTTTCACCTTATTATTCATTAAATGACCAAGTCCATATAGCCATGAACATATCCAAAAGGCAAAAGTATGAATGAAATGTTACTGTAAACCTTTTTATTAATGTAAATAAAATAGAATTTTACTTACTTCCTTACGCCTGTTCCCTCTCGTGGAGGAGAATGGGCCGTACACCAGCATTCTCCATCCAACCCTACCCTGGGTAATCCTTTCCAGTTCTTTTAAACTGTTATTCATCCTTTTTATATTTGCTTCTATAAATAGAATTTCGATAGATTTTTACATTCTAAAGTTACTTACTTTACATTACTTATGCCTGTTACTCCCAATGGAGCATAGGCCGCCGACAATCATTCTCCAATCAACTCTATTCTGGGCCTTCCTTTCTAGTTTTATTCAGTTTTCGTTCATTCTTCTCATGTCTATCTCCATTTCTCGGCGTAATGTGTTCTTTGGTCTTCCTCTTCTCCTTTGACTTTCAGGATTACACGTGAGAGCTTGTCTTGTGACGCAATTGGGTGATTTCCTCAAATTGTGCCCTATCCACTTCCAGCGCTTCTTCCTGATTTCTTCCTCAGCTAGATGGAATCTGGTTTGTTGTCTCCCATAGTTGGTTGTTTCTGATAGTGTCTGACCAACGGATACGAAGTATTTTGCATCGACAACTGTTAATAAACACTTGTATCTTCTGGATGATGACTTTCGTAGGTCTCCACGCCTTCTCCCCATACAGTAGAACTGTCTTGACATTCGTATTGAAAATTCTTACTTTGGTGTTGTTTGACAATTGTTTTGAGTCCCAGATGTTTTTCAGTTGTAAATATGCTGCTCTTGCTTTACCGATCCTCGCCCTTACATTCTAAACTTATTCATCATTCATTATTTTCTTTATATTTAGCAAAGAATGGATTCGAACGTTGTTGATTTAGAAGGTACTAATGAATGTAATAATATAAGTAAACGTATTAAAATTATTTTGGTTGGTAATTCAAATGTTGGCAAATCAAGGTTAGTTTATACTACTTATAAAATACTACTTATTATTATTATTAATTTAGTTTATTAAGATCATTCATTCAAGGATCTGATGAGAATGAACCTATTTCAACAGTTGGTACAGATTTAAAATTATATGAAATGAGAATAAATAATGAATTAGTTAAACTTTATATATGGGTAAGTACTTTGATTCAAGTTACAGATTGATTATTTTACATCAATAATTCTTTTCTTTTGTTGATGTTGTTGTTTCATTTCCATTAGGATACTGCTGGTACAGAAAGATTTAGAAATCATATGTGTCCATCATATTTTCGTCATGCAGAAGGTGCTTTAGTAGGTACGTTTGAATCTTCACATTGATGTTTAAGACTGCAATTGATCAGTTTCTTATTGGCCATATGTGCATACTGTGCTTATCACCTCTATATAGCCTTAGTTCACAAGCATTCTAAACAAAGATGAATAATGACTATCAGCGGAATCCAGTTTGACGCGCGTTTCGTCCTACTTAGGACTCGTCAGCTGGATGTACCTGCATCTCAGATTTGATGTTCACTCTCGGACTAGAACCCAGTACAGTTGGACTCAAACGCCATGGCGCTATCCACTCAGCTACTAAGTCCTGATAGGCGCTTACTTGTGCAAATTTAAATTCCCTTGGTATTGTTTGTTTGAATCTTCCCATTGATGTTTAAGATTGCAATTGATCAGTCTCTTATTGACCATATGTGCATACTGTGCGCATTGCCTCGATATAGTCTTAATTCAGAAGCATTATAAGAAAAGATGGATAATGTATATCAATGGAATCTAGGATGCGTGTTTCGTCCTATTTGGGACTCGTCAGTTGGATGCACCTGCATCTCAGGGTTCATGTTCACTCTGGGACTCGAACCCAGTATCGTTGGCCTCAAACACCATCGCGTTATCCACTTAGCTATTGACTTCTGATAGCCACTTGTTTGTGAAATGGTGTGAAATTTAAATTCCCTTAGTATTGTTTGTTTGAATCTTTCCATTTATGTTTAAGATTGCAATTGATCAGTCTGTTATTGGTATATGAGCATACTGTGCGCATTGCCTCGATATAGTCTTCATTTACAAGCATTTATGGATAATGGATATCAATGGAATCTAGGATACGCGTTTCATCCCATTTGAGACTCGTCAGCTGGCTATCAGAAATCATTAGCTGAGTGGATAACGCAATGGTGTTGGGAGGGAACGGTACTGGGTTTAAGTTTCAGAGTGAACATCAACTCTAAGATGTAGATACATCCAGCTGACGAGTCCCACGTGGGATGAAACGTGTATATCTTGGATTCCACTTCTCATTACTATCTATCTTTTGTTTCTAATTTTGACAACATTATAATCTACCTTCATTTGTCTTTATTTTCTTGTTTTTTTGTTTTTTTTTAGTTTATGATGTTGGTTGTCAAAAAAGTTTTGAAGAACTAAATATGTGGATTAAAATGATTGCACAACATTCTGGTAGTAGATTAGTTAAAGTTATAATTGGCAATAAAAATGATTTAGTAGGTTAATTAAAATACAATTATTCTTATTATAGCCAGCACGTGCTGTAAATGTACAAAAAGCTGAAGAATATGCTAAAAGTATTAATTGTGCATATTTAGAAACTAGTGCAAAAACTGGTATGAATGTAAGACAGGCATTTATTACCCTAGCGAGATTGGTAAGTCATACAATAATGTATATTCTTCGTAATCTTAATAATCAATTAGCATTATCTCTTAAGTAATATCAATAAGAGACTGATCAACTGAGTGGATATCAACTCTAGGATTCTGGTACATCTAGCTGACAAGTCTCAAGTGGGATGAAACGCATATCATGAATTCCAATGCTAGCTATCATCTATCTTTGTTTATCATGTCAATAAGAGACTGATCAACTGAGTGGATATGAACTCTGGGATTCATGTACATCTAGATGACGAGTCTCAAGTGGGATGAAACGCGTATCATGAATTCCAATGCTAACTATCATCTATCTTTGCTTATCATGTCAATAAGAGACTGATCAACTGCTGCCTTAAACATCAATGAGAAGAGTTAAATAAACAATAAAAGCTTCACGACTTAGTAAAAGCTAAGTGAATAATGCGATCACGTTTGAAGTGAACAGTAGTGATTTTGAGTCCTTGAATGGATGTCAACTCTAGGATTCCGGTACATCTAGCTGACGAGTCTCAAGTGGGATGAAACGCGTATCCTGAATTTCAATGCTAGCTATCATCTATCTTTGCTTATCATGTCAATAATGATTTTTATAACGAGAGCATTCAAACACAATTATAGGAAAGTTTATTTTTTTGAGCGGATTGTGCCATTTGAGATGACGTCAATTCTAACCTGGGATGTCATTACAGTTCAAAATTTTTTCTTTATAGGAGGACTTGTCTAAACTAATTTAAATCTGTAGTAAAGAAAGCTCAGAAAGCCTCCACATGACAGTTCCTAAAGATATTGAGAACGGTATTAGAGGGACTAAATGCTTTATCAATTCTAGAGACTAGAGAATGTCTGTGGTTTCGACACCTCTGACACTTTATATGATAATTCTACAGACAAAAAAGATAGCTTCCAGCGCTATTAGGGATTGAGTAGTCAATGGACTGTGGTTTGATAGGTTTGTTATTCCATGATCTACGCAATGAAAAAGAGTTCATTCAAGTAAATTCTCACTGACTAGCAATTTCGGCTTTATTTATGTGGATACACGCTGAAAAAATTCCTGATCAGCAAGCCTGTATGATTGACTCTGATTGATCACTCAAGTCTTCATATTCGAAAAAACATTGGATTTATAGGCCCTCCAATAAGACTGATAAATTCTTAGTTAAAAATCTTGACTCGAATTCTTGTTAAACACACTTCTGGTTGTGATGGAGGTTTGTTCTCTGAGCTGGATGGTTTGGTCGTGGAGCATTCATCGTCCTTCTGAACAACACCATCAGCACAAACTTTGGGTAGAAGTGAAGAGTTTGAGGTGCACAGGACAAGCTGTGAATCACATGTGGAGAAATTCAAAACCACTTCTACCCGAAGTTTGTGCTGATGGTGTTGTTCAGAAGGACGATGAAAGCTCCACGACCAAACCATCCAGCTCAAAGAACAAAGCTCCATCCAAATTATTTACCTGAGCTACAAATCTTCTCCATCACACTTTTGGTTGCTCCTACTTCAGAAATAATTCGATATAAAGTCGAAACAAAAGTCAAATAATTTATGTTATAAAATAATAATAATCTTGAGGATGTTAGATCCCCAGAACTCACTTGATAAATGACCTATATCTGTAATTCTATTTTAAGAATTTAAATTTCTTGTTTTGGTGCCAAAGGTGCTCATTTTCACCTTCATGTTGTATTTCCCAATTGGGAGGGTTTTAAACGCTATTGGTCGGTTGCATCTTTTAGTATGCTATTTTGTAACGCTTCTCAGGGACATTCTTATGCTGCATATACACGCCTGATTTGTGTTTGTTGTTGATGTTCATGCTTTTGGCTTCTTGTGGAATATATTTACCACTTCTGAACTTGGACTTCTCTCTTACGTTAGCGGGGTTGGAAAGCATCAGAATAGCTAACTTATTGGTCAACGTGTCACAGTCTTCATTCAGTTCTCAAATTAGATGAACTTATAATCTCTTCAAACACAGCAACTAACACTTTTGTTCATATATTCAAACTATCTTATAAGTGAAATGGCCTTTACTTAAAGTTTCAACTGAAGAGAAATTATCCTTCAGCAAGTGTAGTGAACGAGAACACAGCTATACTCATTAATATCAACAACAGAAATTTACAAATGCTTGCAATCAAATAAATTTTTGATCTATAGATTTTATAAAAGTGTTTATCACTGGACAGTGTACTATAAAAGTACACTAATTGTGTACAGGCTCTCCACAAGAACACTAGTGGTAAGGTCAGATCTTATGAAAAACGGTTAACTTCAATAAGCGTCCTTTAAGGTTATCCATCTTTATTTAACTTTGTCGTAAACATAAACGCTCTCTTTGCCTGATTTTCTAATACTCAACATTCAAACAGAAGATTAACTTGTTGACTTAGAACACGTAAATAATATAGCAGCTGTTTGGTGAACACACTGAAAAATAGTTTGCTTATGGCCTTAAGAAACAATACGTAGGGTAAGATTTTCTCCAACTAAGTGCAACCTCCTATTTCGGAACTGATCTGCGTCAGCCCATCCATTTTAGGGTATGAAGCGAAGCAGTTGAATGCCTCTACGACTTTATTTATCATGAAAGCCTCATCAGTTTTAATGAACTAGAGTCTGACGAGATCTCGGCACAGATTCAGGAGGCTCAGCTGACTTTTGTAAAATTTCGTCACTTGCAATCTAAGAGAGAACTTCGTATGTCAACTAAAGGACGAGTTTACTGCGTACCAGTTCGCTTTGTCCTACTTTATGACCGTGGAATGTGACTTATAAAAAAAGGGAATTTTGATAAGCTACTAGTATTTGATCAAGAATGACTTCTAATCGTTGTTTGAATATGTTGGGATCACTGAGAGTACGATGCTAATGTTAAACAAACGGTATTCATTAGGTATGCCAAACCAGTTGATGAAGCTGTGAAGCCTTCATCACTTCTTGTGATTGGCGCATTTAATACATATGTTCAAACATTATAATCTTCGATAAGTGGTGTTTGCCGGTATAATAGTAGGTTGGAAGAAAGCTTGTGGGAGCAAAACAAAAGTAGTGTCAGCCCATGAAGTCACTAACTATGGAGCTGTAGCATATTTGTAGTTGCAGACTACCTGATTAGGTTTAGTGCAACTATAATAGCCAATGGGTGAAGATACTGGTAGACACAGCCCAAAATTCATTACAATTTTACACATAGATCCATTTTTTTTCATTTAGTTCTTGAATTTTAAATCTACTTTATGCTTCTTTATTTGGCAAATTCATTCTTTCTTCTCGAACTTTATTTCTTATGCCTAACGTTTTCTACTATCACTGATATTGTCACTACTTACACTACTCTGGGCTTTATCCTGACTGAATGATTAACTGAGATTATTAAAATCTCCTTGATATTCAGTGAAATAGTTTTGAAATTATTTATCAGATATGATATTTTACTCAATGGCCAATTTGGTTGAGATCATGAACAGATCAGTGTTAGACCAGCAATGAAAATCTGTAAGTATTAGATGGTTATTTCGTCCTACTATAGAACTCCTCAGTAGTGCGCATCCACGATTACACACTCCGGATCCGAACCCAGGACCTCCAATCCCGCGTGCGAACGCATAACCTCTGATCCACTGAGCTAGCAGCCGAAGGTATAAATGTTTGTATTTTATATCAGTTCCTTCACATTATCTATGATAATTATTCATTGACTTTATATGTTTTGATATTTAACTTAGAAGGATTCAGTCCAAAAACAAGTCGTTTAACAAAGTTATACAATCATATGTTATGCAATCATATTGTTTACAACTGTTACTGTTTGTATTCACTTAGTATTACTTGTTTGAATCCGGCTGACGAGTCCCAAATGGGACAGAACGCGCCTCCCGGATTCTACTGCTAGTCACTATTCATCTTAGCTTATAATGTTACCGTTTGTTTATGCAAAAAAGAAATAAACTTGATTGTTTCCATTTTTTTAGATATTACATGGATTTGAATGTCACATGTAAATGTTTAGCCTACATAATAGAGATCATTATTGTCTAGTAGACACATTTCAAATCATTTTAATCAATACACAATAACATCATATGATAACTATTTAATAGACATAATATCAGTGTACCATTGACATGTAAGTTTCGACAAAAAATGGAGCTAAACATTTACAATACAGCAGAGATGGATAGTGGCTAGCAGTGGAATCCAGGACGCGTGTTTCGTCCCATTTGGTACTCGTCAGCTGGATGTACCTGTATCTGAGAGTTGATGTTCACTCTGGGACTCGAACCCAGTACCCTCGCTTCAAACGCCATCGCGTTATCTATTCGGCCACTGAGTCCTGATACAGCTTAATTTCAACTAAATAAAGATTGGATATTAAGAGGTAATGGATAGATACATAGTCTTAGTGTGAACTCTTTATCAAATCACACTAAAGACTTTATCAAAGACTGAATATGGGATCACTTACCTTCCAAGCAAACGTGTCAATTTCAGCTTACTGAGTTTGTAACCAATAGTTCAGATGTTATAATTTAGTACTTCTTATAATTATGACTTACGTTTGTTATTGAAGAGTACTGATAATAACGAAGTATATCTCCAAAGTTTTATGGAAGATATTAACTACCCATTCAATAATCGGGACTGAATATATATTGATTATTATCAGTTAACTAATCTTCATTTACATTTAAAACCTAATTTAACTTGAAATAATGAATAGACTGATCAGGAAAACATACATTTCTTAAGTAATGTCGGTGAGACTATGATTTATGGACGATCTTTGAGCGACACTAGAGTAACCTTGAGAGTGTCCACTTAACAACCAGGATCAAATGAGGATTATAAACTTGTGTGAGGAGTTCGACTTATGATTTACATTTGATGGTTAAGGTTAGGAAGCTTGGCACTTAATTCAATCAGCAATAAACAAACATATTGAAATCAATCCAATCTATCAACCAATCAAGAAAACTATGCAGGAACATAGGAACAGAAATCAAACCAATAGGAGATACAACCAAAACAAAGAAATAAACAATGACAGATTTAAGGTCAATAAGAACCAATCAACATCGAGGTGCAGAGGACAAGCTGTGAATCGCATGTGGAGAAATTCAAAACCACTTCACTTCTACCCGAAGTTTGTGCTGATGATGTCGTTCAGAAGGACAATGAAAGCTCCACAACCAAACCATCCAGCTCAGAGAACAAAGCTCCATCCAAATTATTCACCTGAGCTACAAATCTTATCCACCATCTCAGAATATGAAGATTTTCACTTCTAACTTGGATAACATCGAGAACATATTCTGGGAATCTTTTAAATTAACACAGATTGATTCAAGACTACAAATATTATAATCAATATTATTATTAATTGACACTTTGCAAATGAAGTATTTACTGTATAGTTCTCAGATTTTAATAAGAAATTCGGTAATTTTGGTATTCAAATACATTCGTTTGTCTCCACTTGTGTTCTCATTGACTACATGAATATTCTCAATTCATTGTGATTTTCAGAAGGAGGTTTTGTGGAGATTTTAGTAATTTTATATAGTTGAAATCATGAGTCAATTGAGGCTAGACAACCATGGAAAACCTGGAAGCACTGGATGTCCGTTTCATCCTATTGTGAGACTCCTCAGTAGTGCGCATCCACGATCCCACTCCGCGAGATTCGAACCCAGGACTTATCGTGGATTAGTTAAAGTTAGACATTAACACCGTTGGATGCCGGTCGGCTCAGATGTCTAGTCGTTAGGTGCTCGCGCGCTAGACTGATATGTCCTGAGTTCGATTCTCACAAGACGGGATCTTGGATGCGCACTAGTCAGGAGTCCCACAATAGGACTAAAACAGTTGTCCAGTGCTTCCAGGTATTCCATGATGGTATACCTTCAATTGACTCATGATTTTCATTGTAATTCATATTTATTCTGACAATATTGCTTCACCCTCATTTCTTTTCATTTCATTGACTTGTAAATCTCATTTAATCAATCATTCTTTTCTTTTCTTTTAGATTATCGAAAAAAATGCTCAACAGTTAAATACGATTAAAGAGAATAATGTTGTTTTACGTGAAAAATCTAAAAAACAAGTACAATGTTGTCATCATTAAATTGATTATTGAAACAATGATACAAACTCTTAATGTAAATGTTATACTATGTTAATCTATAAACTATGAATAATATTGAAACTATTGAACATTTAACACATTTTATATGTATATGATAATAATAATAATAATTCACTTTGTATTGCTTTGGTTATATATTTGATTAGAAGGGTTCGAGTTCCAGAATGAACATCAACTCTGAAATATAGTTATATCCAGCTGACGAGTCCCAAATAGGACGAAACGCATGTCCTGGATTCAACTGCTAGCCATTGTCCATTTTTGATTATAATGCTTGTGACTTAAGATAATATCGAAGCAATACGCACAATATAAACATATATCAATAAGATACTGATCAGTAATGGGAAGTTACTAAGAAACAAATCTAAGTGAATTCAAACTTCACTCGATAGCACAAGCAAGTGGCTAACAGGAGTCAGTGGTTTTAGTGGTATAATGTGATGGTGTTTGAGGCGAAAGGTAGTGAGTTCGGGTCCCGGAGTGAACATCAACTCTCAGATGAAGGTACATCCGCCTGACAAATCTCAAATAGGACGAAACGCGTGTCCTGTATTTAACTGCTAGCCATTGTCCATCTTTGCGTAAAATGCTTGTGACTTAAGACAATATCGAGGCAATTCACACAGAATGAACATATTTCAACAAGAGACGGATCAAAAATGGGGAGTTACAAACAAACAATACTAAGTGAATTTCAACTTCACGCTATTGCACAAACAGATGGTTATCAGGAGTCAGTGGTTTTAGTGTTATAACGTGATGGTGCTTGAAGTGAAATGTAGTAAGTTCAGGTCCGGAAGTGAATATCAACTGTGGGATGCATGTACATCCATCTGACGAGTCGCAAATAGGATGAAACGCGCGTCCTTGATTCCATTGCTAAACACTATCCACCTTTGCTTACAAGAAGTAATATTATGAAGTGAATGAGACACTATATAAAACGGATTGATAATGCTTGATAGTAAGATAAATTGGTGAACAAAACCAGACTTCTTAATTGATAGTATTAATATAGAATACATGTTACACTTTTCTGTTACAATTTAGAGAAATCCATTCATATTTTTCTGATAAACAAAAGTGATTCATAGTTAAAATCATGAGTCAATTGAGGCTAGATCACCATAGAATACCTGGAAGCAATGGACGGCCGTTTCGTCCCATTGTGGGACTCCTCAGCAGTGCGCATCCACGATCCCGCCTTGCGAGATTCCAACCCAGGACCTACCAGTCTCGCACTAGAGCGCTTAACCAATAGACCAATGAGCCTGCATCCCATGATGTTAATATCTAACTTCAACTAATCCACGAAGTTGAGCAACCGTTCATCAATTGTCTTCAGTGAGTTCATATCTCCCAACAGACGTGGTTGTACTCCACTGGTCACTGATTCTCACTAGAACTTCAGGAAATACCTCTTGAAGTCAGTCTCTAGTGAGCATATGATTATAATCAGAAGGGGTTTTGAGGAGTTAAAATCAGGAGTCAATTGAAGCTAGACCACCATGGAAATGATTCACTCTGAGATTTCATATAATTTGAATGATAAATGAAAGTGAACTGGGATAGATTCCTAGATGATGACCATACAACTACTTATTACTTCATGGTTGTTTTTTGCTCTCTTTCAGTTGATGTTAATTGGAAAGGGACAAAACAAAACATTATTAACTGGACACAAACATCTATTCATTTTCGATGATTAAATAATAAGGGATTTCTTGTTTACAATAGTTCAGAACGTCTATACAAAGTAAACAAGTGTATTTCCATTGTCCTTTTCACATAATCTGAGATAAATTTATTTGGTTTCAAATTATGTGACAAAAGTAGGAAGTAGTTCACCTAATCCCCATTGACTCATCCCCAAATTATAGTTTAATTAAAGGAGATTTGTAATTGTTGTTCATTTGAAAGACAGTGTTTCTCAAGTGTTATTTCCATGAATCTGCTTTCTGTGTTGGACTCCTAAGTAGTATCAACCTCTCTCTCTTAATGTTACCATAGAACAGAGACGTTTTGGATCAATAATCGATCAAATGTGCTTAGAACTGGTGAGTTAGGATCTCATCTCTGAAGTGAGTCTATTCACTACATAAGATGAACATCATCCATTGCGAATGGCAATATTTATTTCACTACTTTCATGATTGGATTTCATTGATTGCAACTTCACACTAAAATTCCTACTATGGAGAACAAACACTCAATCCAGAAATCAAGTAAAACATTTATTCGCAAATCTTCTATACTCGTCTATTCTGTGGTTAAATATCTGAGTTACAGAATTCGATTAGTTTGTTGTGAGGATAGTATAGATGAAGAACTGAAGAGATCAATGTTGATGATTTTACAAAATAGATATCTTCGTAATTTTGTCCGTTAGGAGTACCTCCTGCGACAGTATGGTGTACCAAAGATTGTCAACATCGTACGGAATTCATACGACGGACTACACTACAAATTTGTGTATGAAGGACCAAGGAACAATCTGCGTCGGGAATAGCAAGCAGACATCAAAAGAATGAATAGCAACTGGAAAGCATTTTTAAAGACAAATTTCTATGAAGAATCCTGATAAGTATCCTTTGTCCCTCCATGAGGGATAACAGGCGTAAGTAAGCTGGATGTAGGTACTCAGAATTGATGTGTACCAGTTTTAGATGGGACAAAATAAGTGTGTCCGGAATTACACTGCTAGCAACTTTCCATCTATTATACATAAACTTTTTATATAATGTCTATTTTGAGACAATCTACATAGAGTGAACATATACCAACTAAGACTGATTAAAGTTTGATCAGAAATATCAGCAACTGATCAATCTTAAAACCACTGCAAACTGAATTAAAGTGCATATTCATTTTCAGTGGCTATTTTACTAAGGTCAATCAATTATGTTAACTATACAATCCAATCTTCACAAACCTATTACAGCAATTACAAATCATGTGTTCACTAGTGTTTAATTTCTTGGGGTGATTTTGGAGTTCTAATAAGACTGTGATCAGTGGATTCCTACCGTATAAAATATGATACAGCTACCTAGTCAGAATATAAAAACATAGTAGCGCGATATCGTGAAGTGATTGAAGTTATCATGCAAATCCTTGGTTTTAGGATAAGTCATCTAGAAGACAAACATCTGCACGCACAAACGAAAATCCTGAATTCATTCCTCGGTGGTAAAGTCGTGGTGCGCACTTCCGAGGAGTTTCATACCAAGATAAAACAGCTGCTGAAAGCTTCCTGGTTCTAATGGCTATTTCACCGAGATTAGTTTATAATGTTAACTACGAAGATAAAGAATCATCTCATCTATGCATCCGGTGAAATAACAATATAGCGAGGAGCTAAACATGATGAATATAAAGTCTACCGGGTTTTTGTGCGGAACTCAGAAAGTCATCGGGACTGCCACTCAAGGTATGAAGTGCTTGATAAAACAAAAGCCGACAAAGAATACTTAAATCCCTAAATATTGATAATAACAAGTCTATTGGGCAACACTTTACCAAAATTACCATGATATGAAGGGGGAACTATACGTAAAGTTCATTTTATTTGATTACGATACTGTTTTTAACATAAGTTAGTTAGAATTCGTTTACTTGAACACAGAACTTGCAAGCAAAGTTCTTGTCATATTAGCTTTTCATTTTTCTACTACTTACAAGTAGTTTTCAGTATGTACCTTAAACTTTGTGATGGATACGGTCGGTTAGCGAACGGTATTTCTACATAGATTATAAAGTGGCTAGACGACAGAATGTGTTGGTGAATGCAGTGCTCAGTAAAAGTATCTAGATTGTTTTCTCTATAATCTGAGAAGAGAATGACTGAATTAACAAGAATCTAGCGAAAAATGATTGAAATCTCTTTAGTGAGTTATGATAGCAGTACAAACACGATACCCAACTGATTATTGTTGTGTTTAGGAAACCACGTACACCAAAAATGATTGAGAGGATGTCGAATTCTGAACTGAGGAATTCCTAACGTCAGAGGAACTCCTGGGAATATTGCAACCAGGTCAATCTGCAATCGACAGACACATCAGTAAAGGTCCAGTTTATCAATCTACACGGACAAAATCAATCAACCACACACCAGGAGGTCAACAGGATAGAATAGTCAATAAGAATGCAAAAGAGATAAGTAAATGTCCAGGTGAAAGACTAAAAAGATAACCATTAACAAACAAAGTGATTTGGACAGAATGATTAAGGTCCAGAGAAGTTATTTTAATAATCCAACCTCCACTTGAAATAGTCCCTGTTGATGTCTCTATCCAGAACGAAAATAACAGACTCTAAATTCGAATAACCTGCTCTGAAAATGAAGCGTCACTAAGGACATTGTTTCCCTCATGATTCATTTGAATGATAAGTTCCAAGAATTGCAAGATGAACTGTACGACTTTGAAATCACCTTCATATATGATATTTCCATTCTTTGTTCATCAGAATAATGTGATTTCTTATTTTAGCTAACAACTTGTAGTGTCAATATATATATATATATATATATATATATATATATATATATAGCGAGAGAGGGGGATTTCGACAGTTTGGAAGTATGAACGGTGAGAATTTCTACTAGCGTGAACATATTTATCAGCACTGAAACCCTTCACATCGCTATCAGCCACCGATAGAGGGGCTCGATAAGAGACTATCACTCATTCTGGAGCACATGTTTAGATTCAGATCATGCTTTAGTGCGAGCACGTATCTGTATGCGTCCTACTGGATGTAGGAAAGACACTGCAGGGAAACCTATTAGGGTTCTACTTAATGATAGGCAAGCTAAGAATATATTTCAGGAACAACTAGAAAAACAGTTAGGCAGCCATGTAAGTTGTGCCCACCCTGAGGCAGCGTGGAATGACATCTGAAAAGCTGTGGAAACAGCAGTGATATCTGCTAGTTAGGTAAACCATAAGGTTAAGGAAAACCAATGGATCTCAGCGGCATCTACCGTACTGATAGATGCTCGAAAACACATCCCATCTGGCTCTGAACATAACGAAACCCTTCGTACCCTTTACCAATAAATTTAGCAGATATAACAACGGTCGTATCTTTGTGAGATACTCAACATTTCCGTACTTTTATAGCATGTGCAGACAGTTTCTGTCCATTAAATTTGCGAAACCATGAGCTTGATCGTATGTTAAAATACAAAATACTGGGGGTTTATTGCAAATCAGATGATAGATTTCACTAACATTCAAGATCATTTATGTAAGCTAATTGATTGACAAGCATCACACACCCTTCAAATCTGCATGATTAAGTTTGAGTTGCTCAGATAACTTCTATCATTGGCAACCAAAACTATGAATAACTCCTAATAGATCTCCACATAATGAGGATACAAAGCACACAGCCATGAAAAGAGGATCTAACTGCCAATAGATTCTAAATCAACTGTAATTTGTAGAAATTCCAAACTGAGAGAAAGTGAATAATGAAAACGCAATAATTTTAGTGTTCGCAATTTGATTGAAACCCTGAACAAATCTAAGTTAAACTGTTATCGGAAACCTGGAAGTACTGGATGGTCGTTTTGTCTCAGGTATGGAATCGTCAATAGTGAGTATCAACGACCTCGTAACCGAGAATTGAGCCTAAGACCTTTGTTCTCGCGCGCGATCGCTTGACATTTAGACCACTAAGCCAGTATCCAATGGTATTAATGTCTAACTTTAATCAATCTACTTATAATTTGTAAGTTGTTACATATAGCGAATCACCATTTATTTTAATGTTGTCTGAATTAATAATAGAGTCGTCCGGTAGGTTATGAAAAAGCCTCAATGATTGTTGGACAGAAACATCAATCGAAAAGCAGATTTTCCTGACTAACTTCAGCAGAGCTAAACTCTTATATGGTAAACATTAAAGCCTGTGTAGAATACATGAACTATTTTAAATATTTTGATAAGTGGGAATTATTTTACCTAATACGCGAGACTACAATTTATGGATGAGCCAATCAGAAGCGTTTGAGGGATTTCAAGGTCATGGCGCCAATTTCAGTACCTGATGCTCATGTATGATAGGTTCACAGAGAGTTTTAGAGGACACTTGACAATTAAGCGGCTACAACAAATGAAACTACTAAGAAGTTGCTGTATTTGTAATTACGAGTATTAAATGACTTGTAGACCTTGTGCAGACTACTGTGATATTGTCCTTCGATGTAATATATATTGAAGGAAGACGCTTGCTAGAATAGGAACCTTTATCGCTCGATCCAGATTGAGACTAAGGCATATTATAATAATTGCCGCCAACTGTATAATAAAAGCACCAGTAAAATTAGCTGCAATAATGGCAGATGCCACAGAAGCCTCGACTGTGCAGTAGTATGAGTATTGTAGGGACATATCTATAATAAAAATGATAAACTTACACAACCGGAGTACAAACAAACAATATGGAAGCTATGTGGTCGAGGCTGAGAGGGTTTTTATGGCCTTATCATGGCTCCAGAGACAAACCTATTATGGACCCATATAGATGAGTTCCTCTACTTTATGCATTACGATTTTGGAACCTTTAAACCTTTTTTCTGACATTGACAAGTTTTTGAACCATATAAAAGAAGTATATCCACTTTAATTATTTCGTTTGGTGTAATTTGTTTTTCCTCTATGCTGACTGTTTACTGATAGGCTAATATTTCTCAAGGTCACTTAAGATTTGTTCAAAGGTCGTCCATATATTATAGTCTCGCCTACCTAATATTCAAAAATATTCGATCCCATATATTATCTTATTTTAGAAATAAAATTCGTCATATCTGTGATTAGATACTTTTGGTCTAAGTAAAGCTAGGAAACTGTTAAACTGTAACTCCTAAGTCCTCAAAATGTACCGCCTCTGGAATGCATACACATATCCACTGCAAAGCAACCACATCACTGATATTGTGTTTTCGGTTCTTTGGATTATGACGTACAGTTAAATTATACAAAATACACGTTACGTTTTGATACGCGCTAAATCAACGATAAGCAGAACCCCGTAAAAAAACAGAAATTATGAAGTGGAGTAGAAAAAGGGTAGTGGCAAAGACTTGTGATATCCTTGAGAGTTAACTGTGAATATACAAACAAAAGAAACGACTATATTTATATGAAAGTCAACAACATGAATGAGTCAATTACAAGCAAATTAGAGAGCCTGAGACATATGTTCACCGGTTTCAGTCGCCACACCACATTGTAGATGAGATAATGAGGACAAATGCCAGAGTAGAAATAATAGCAAAAAGTGATACATAGAAAAAATGGTTTGAAATTAAAGAATTTAATGTACTCCCAGTGCAACTCTTACAGATGAACCTCAAGAGGATGATCATTATGTCAACATGGAGAGGTGATAGGGTCTGATTATTTGGTGAGCCTCTGTACACTTTGAATAACGTTAGCCAACACAGCATGGTACTCATTTCTTCTATTCTTACTCGAGTAACAGGTTGTGTTCACATAAAAGAAACATACGTATAAGCATCAGAATCGCATAACCGCCAAATATAACAAGATATCCCGACAAAATAAGAAGTGTGACATATCTCTGAAACTCAAGATCTAAGGGGAGATAATGAGTGGGTGAATTTCCGTTATTAATACCGATTCTGAATCACGTCATTTAACATCTGTGACTATTAAGCAGAGATGGATAGTGGCTGGCAGTGGAATCCAGTTTGACGCGTGTTTTGTCCTATTTGGGACTCGTTAGCTGGATGTACCTGCATCTCAGAGTTGATGTTCACACACACACAAACAATACTAATCTGTAACTATTGTTACGATAATCCTTCGAACCTTAACGAGATAATCTACACCTACCTAACCAACATGGCTCAGACCAACAATCAATAACTTCATGGATGAGTACCACAGGATGATAATATTGAAAAGGGTGTAGTAGATAGATAGAAAAGCATGGTATAATTTTCAAAATACTGACAAAAATATATGATCAATTTAATTACAAGAAAGGGAGATATAACTCAGTAATCTTACATCATAACACGGAGTTCTCACCCGAATAAACATTTGCGCAATACATTTAGGTTATGATTAAGCATGTGTATACACAAAATAGTGGAAGAATAAATGTACGAATAAGTAAAATCACAGGTTTTTTATTAAAAAAAAACATTTACGGTTGATTTCTGTGCATTTTAAAGCATGATTGACTTGTTGATTGTTGACTGTATTTGATCCCAGATTATCTGAGTGTATTTCATAGCGTTCATGTGAATTTCCCTTGAATGTTAACAAGGACATGTTAGTGATCCGCTGGGTTGAGTGGATTCAAGGGATACTCCTTCAGGTGGTTGTGATGTTGTTGTTGTTGATGACAGGAATTCAGGATCTTGAAGTATCTAGGATTTTTGGTTATTCGGATGTGATATAAATGTATAGAAATTAAAAGACAAACAAAAATTTATTTTAAATGCACATAATTTTTATAACTTTCAGAAACTGTTTAGTCACATATCATACACAAGTGAAGTAATAATATTGAAGTTAGACATTAACACCGTTGGATGCCGGCAGGCTCAGTGGTCTATCGGTTAAGTGCTCGCGCACGAGACTGACAGGTCCTGGGTTCGAATCTCGTGAAGCGGGATCGTGGATGCGCATTGCTGAAGAGTCCCATAATAGGACGAAATAGTCGTCCAGTGCTTCCAGGTTTTTCATTGTGGTCTAGCTTCAATTGACTCATGATTTCAACTATATGTTTGTGGTGACTGAGGTTAATGAAGAAATGTCTAGCAATCAATTGAAATCGGGGTGTATCTTTAATAAGGATATAAATATTTCAAGACTGTAATTACCTATAGAAAAAAAAGCTATGACACAACACATCAAGCTCAAGATGTACATAAAAATAGAAGATGAATGCTAATGTGTGATTGTGTTACCCAACGTTTCAAACCATAAATCATAATCATCAAGCTTATAGCTGTGAATACAGCATAGATCAGAAAGCAACAAAATCATGGCCTGATATCATGTTTTTAATTTGGTCAACTCGAGTTTTGATATACTACTATGCCAGACTGTATTGCACGCCCAGGCATGTGTGAAACGAGGTTTATCTGAAATGTTTTGTTTAACTTTATGAGTGGTCATTTTGTGGTTCAAGTATACACGGAGACATCTCTTCTAATCTAATAGGCCATATTTCATAGATGTTTTTCCACAAGTGTATCAAGTTGTTAAAAGTGAAGAGAGCACTTCTTATTCTAGTTGCCAACCACCTACAAACGCTAATGAAACTTTTAAGGTGAGTGGAGCGATCAACAGCCTTGACTACTCCACTTTCTCTTCCGAGTCAGACTAAGGGTTCCAACTACTTTCGCTTTACTGCTAAAAGTGTTTTGAATGCTAAGGATTATTTTAGTGTTTTCACCTAATAAACTACGTCGTCTGCGTAATCCAAAACAGTGAAAGTCTATTTGAATTTTCAAGAGACTAATGTGCTTTCTGGTACACTTTTTAATAACAAACACTGGCGTCAAACCTGTGAAAAAACATAGTTGGATGCACTTGTCAAATCAAGAAAGACGATTGTAGTCAGACATCAATAAGCATGTCTGAAAATCTGTTGAAAGGTGAGTATATATTCTGCATATCCAAACCCAGGTCTGGAAAAGGATATTTTATTGAGCTTGCTTCCACCGACCTTCACTAATTCGCCAGATGATTTTGAAAGTTGATACTTCATGAATTATTAATTATCATAAGGTTTCTGTCATTTCATATAAACCAAAACGACTAGATATGTAAACCAACTAGATGGAAGCGGTTTGAGCTCCTAGACATAGTATTCAACCTGACAGTGCTGAACCACTGTTGTTAAACGCCTCTGAAAATTTTCCGTTATTATTCTGTTGTGGCTTATTTTAAATTAATTATAGTCTTTACAACTCCAGTTGGAATACCGACCTCCATCTGCTAGTTAGTTTGTGAGTATTCTGCCCATTAAACACGCAAATATGAGAATAAGTCTATCGCATCCATAGATTTTTCAGTGAGCTCCAACCATAGATGGTTTTGCATGTTTTACAGCAATAAATAATTATATGATCTATATGTTACTTACATAAACTCTGGCAAACACTTATCTATGAGTTGCCTACCTAAGTAGCTCAATAGAATCCCAATAACAGACAAAAACAAACACGTCATACCTTACACCAAAAACGTTAGAAGCCTACAACAATAGAAGTAAATTAGTGAGAAAGTGATCTGTCAGGTAAGAATTGAGCTTGCCAGTCAGGTGTCAGTTTTATTGATGTAAATGACCTGTAATAATTTGTGTAATGTAACTTCTAATCACGAGGTAACCATTTCTATTATAAAAAACCTACTCTATTAGCTAATTGTATTACCTTAGATAACACTTCAAATGATATTGGATCAATAAGGATTTAACTTTATGTACACTTATCAGTTGACTATGATGAATTATTTTGAATTACCTATCGATCAATATTCTATTTTTCATCTTAACAAACAAAATTTATTCATAATGAATCCAGTGAGACAGAATCAAGTCAAACAGGGATATGTAAGGAAATGAGTATTGCTATTTTATATATTTATTTAAACACAAATATGGGTATAAAGGGGCACCGAATACATGTGCCAAACAAGTCACTTGATTTTTGTGTGGGCTGTGATGCTACTGGAGTTCCCAAACCGAAGCAGGTGGTTTTCATAGGAGGCCACTCCTCTGGCCCTCAACCTGAAGGTCTGATTCACAAGGCAGTGGAGCAACGCCAGAAGACGTAGTCCCATGGTAGCTGGTGACTAACAATGGGTTCATACATCATTTGTTCCTTTAGGATCCTGGAGCCTATGTACACCATTGGTTTGAAATCAGGGTTTTTCAACTCCCCTAGGTGGATCTTCTATATTGCTATTACTAAGATAAACAAAGGATGAGTCTGAGATAAACTAACTAGTTTATAACTGTTGATTACGGCTGTCTCACGGACTCTAGTCAAAACATATACATTAAAATACGTGGATAGGGTAGGAATTCAACAACTTGATAGACTTATGGCACATTTGATTTCAGTGATCACAACTTGCTAAAATATTTATTAACAAATCTTTTTAAAGAGTTTAGTCAATTGCGATACGTTTCTTCAAGTTCTTAAGTAGAAATAGAAACAAAAAATCTGCCTTTTTAGTCACATTACCCTATAGTAAAGTAGACGTTAAATGTTATAACTGTGATTCACCGTCACTGAAGACACCCGCACTAGTTAATGACAAAGGTGGTTATTCCCAGAAACAAAGAGACTACATGAGTACACTTTCCAGCTTCCTTATAATCAGAGACGAATTTGTCTTCACTGAACAATCTAAACAGTGATTATAAATCTATTCGGAATATTTACAGATATAAGTGTTCAACTACACAAATGTCTCAAAACATAAAGAGATTAATTTCACAACAAATAGTTGGTCTTAACCATTTGAATTTCTGATGAGATAAGATAAATAACAAACCAACCGAAAATTTAATGTAATAATTGTTAAATACACTGACCAATCACTCGTTTCAATTAATCATTATCTATATACATACTAATGGGAATAAAAATAAGACTTACTTTACGAACAAGTTCTACAAAAGCATCACGAACATTTTCACTTGTTTTTGCACTGGTTTCAACAAAAATTGACCCCATACTTCGTGCGAAATCGGAACCTTCTTTTTTTGAAACCATGCGATTATCCTATGAATAGAATATCTCTAAAGTGAATTTCAACAAACTAACCAAGTCAATTTTATTACCAACAAGCATTTTTAAAAGTCGACTACCACAAAATTGTCTAGTTTGTTCTACCCAGTATTTCACTCCGGAAAGACTTTGTATGGAAGTAACATCGTATACTAAAAATGACAAGGAGAATAAACCTATAGGCTTGCTTTTACCAAAAAGAGCACCATGAGCGTGGCGGTAAAGAGAAGGAGTCAAGTAACTGCTGTATCGTTCAACACCAGCTGTGTCCTAATAACATGAAAATAAATATTCTACATTGTTTATGGCATGACGTTTACCCATATATTAAACTGAATTGTTCTCCCGTCTACAACCATTTGATATGGTTTGAAATCAAAACCGATTGTCGCCGCTTCATTGTGTATGAATCGGTCATCAACAAATCGACGAATTAAACTATGTAAAAGAAAGTAGTCATTAGAAGCTAAATGCCATATATGGAAGAACATACCTTGTCTTCCCAACACCTGAATCTCCCAACAGGATTAATTTAATTTTTATCGATTCTTCACCGGCCATATTTTAAATATCTAAAGGAGTGGTAATATTGAATGATAGTATTTGGAATGTTAACCATAATAGAATTCGTCTACGTAAAATGTAACACGTTGGCTACAAAGGACTTTTATTAACTTTCAAGGAACATTAGTTCATTCCAGTGATCAAAAAACCCAAATAATTACAGCTTATGTGTTCCCTTTACACATGAAAGTTTTGTTTTTGCAAAGTAACACACAGCTGAATTTTATGCAGTGTAGTTTTTATTTTGATATGCTGGCAGACATCCGGGTCCTATTGAGAATGACAAGTTGAAGAAGTGAAACTAGGCTCTTGTGTTAGTGTGAAGATCTTACCACTTATAAATGCACCGAAGTAGATTAGTTTATTCATAAACCGATTGAATAACTTTACCCTCTAGTGTCCTAATAACTACTGACGCAACAGTTCACAGGTAACTTTGATACTTAGCATAGCTGAAAAACATTAACAACTTATCCCTGAATTTATAAGAACTTTCGTCTAAATTTGATCGAATAGTTTCACGGTATTCGGGTGCCGAGTTGGTGTGAGACATTAATGGGGAAGAATGTATTTGTAAAATCTCAGCGAATGAATTTGAAGTAAATCCAACGTTTCGCCCGGTAATCTAGTCCATCCTTTTTCAAGCAATTATAATCAAGCATCAAAACTATCAAATATAAAAATGGGTACATTTTTCTCTGATTAATTGTATACTAAATAGGTCATCTAATCAATGTCAACAATGCTTAAAGTAGGTATTTGCTCTAGTGTGTAAGAGATATGTGGTGTGAAATGAAGTGTTAAGATAATAGATTGTGTGTATAGGTAAGTGGTGTGAGAAGAAATCTCATTCGTTATTTGTCTCTGATTAGTGGATTTTTAAGAAAAATACAATTTTTTACACATAATATGAACCAAATATCTCACAGCATGCATAAAATGAAGATAAACAAAATAAAGGAATGAATGTTTGTATCATTTTTATTGTTCTAGTTAATTTTTCTAACATATTCAGATAAGACAACTGATTAGAATCGTTGAATGTAATTGTTATTTTTCAGATAATAAGAGATAGATAAAACGGAATAAGGAGTTCAGGTCTATTTATTAATTATTAGTTGCCATGGGACAGCTAATTGTATTCCATCTCCCCTATTAATACTATTTGGATTAGCCTATATGTTTAGGGCTACAGCTGTTAGTCTTTCTTTGTAAAGATTAAAAACTTTTTGAAGGAATCTTGTGCCGTTAAAATCAATTGTGTGACCCGATTCTATTGAGTGTCATGCCATCGCTAATTTGTTTTCGAGTTTCCTTACATCATCTGAGGATTTAGATTTAGGAATGTGCTTTGAGCAGAGTTTGTGTTCCTTCACCCTTACATTCAGTTCTCTCGTTGTTTCACTACATATTTAGCATTATAGTCACTACATTTTATTTCATGAACACAATTTTGTTGTTCCTTCTTGTGTATTCAGTCTTTGATTTTCAATAGTTTTGATCTTAAAGTAATGCTTTTTTTCAAAAGAATACCCTAAATTTATTTAAAAGATTTCATGATAACTTCATTCCAACCTTCTTGTTACTTGTTATACGGAATCAAAATTGCATGAATTTATCTACTGATCGCGTGAATTTAGATGGTATTATTATCATTTATTAAAACACATAAACATTGGTACAAGGAGGAACAAAATATATATGTTCCACAATTCACCATTCGATTTGCATGAAAACTAGAATAATGTCCGAGCGCCCAAACCGAAGCAGGTGGTTTTCTTAGGGAACCACTCTCCGAGCCTTTGACCTACAGGTCTAATGCGCAAGTCAGTGAAACAACGTTAGGAAATGCAGTCCCATGGTAGTCGGTGACCAACAATAGGTTTATACGCCATTTTTTCTTTCAGGATCCTGGAGCTCATGTGCACCATTGATTTGGGATCAGAGTTTTCCAACTCCCCTAAGTGGATCCTTTATATCCATCAATACAGTTAAGGCTCCGGACATTCGCTTTTTGTCCTCTCAATTTCGTAAACAACACTCCAACCGTGAGGAGACAGTGAGTAGGACTTCCCTGGCATAGGCCGTATACACGTATCCATGTGAAAGTATTTCGAGAAGGAGAGCTGACTCTCCCCACCCTCGGCCGTACCAGGGCAATTAAGGGTATTATGATAATTACTTATACGTCTGGATTAGTGACGCAGAAAGCACAGAACAAACGTATATCTAAAGAAGAAATAAATCGTCAACAAAACTTGGTCATTTTAATGCAGTAAAACTTAAGCATTTTTATATAAAATAGGTATGGTCGAAGTTTATCTAAAACAGAAGTGATTTTTAGACATTGGTTTTGTATGACATTATATATAAATAATATATTTGTAAAATCTTAAATTCATTAGCTGAGATTCTACAAATATATTATTCCTATTTAATGTCTTACATCAACTCGGCGCCCAAATACGGTGAAACTATTCGCTCCAATTTAGACGAAAGTTCTTGTTTGTTGGATTTGTATGTTACTCACGGAACCACGAAATCAAGGTGTGATTATCAGCTTTAGTGTCCACTATACTATTTAGCATACAGATCTGTTCAATCAACTTACTGGAAGTTGGTGAGCATTCAGATATGGATTTTGGAAACCAAAAGCATATTGATCCAGGCAGCTAATGCCTGAAATTTCAAAGTATGTTCTCACATAATATCAAGGGGTAAGTTCCAAATACATAATTTTTAGTCAGCTTGTGGGCCCCATGAGAAAGAGAGTGTGCATCCATGTATAACACAACTGAGCTTCAGTCAAACTTTTGATTCACTAAATACTTTTGCACAGGGTTTCAAATATGAATGTTACTGACCCACAGTCTACTGATGTAAGAACTGGCCAATCGCAGAGTTGGCTATAGCTTATAAGGCCTTATAAGGCAGCACGTCACATTTTTATGTGGCTGGATGGTGGGTATATTTACAGATTACTATTATTTTTACAACCAGCTATAACAATCTTTATTCTGTTCATAACAAGAAACACGGTATTTTTTAATGAGCGCAGAAAATAAGAAGCAAACATTTGGTCCTAAGTGACTGCAATTTTGTCAAATCTTCTAAAACTCTTTGGCGATAATAAACGGTTGAAATAATAAAAAGCGAAAAAAAAGGTCATTAGAAACAAAACTTTTACCAAGCTCTATCAAGCATTATTTGATAATAACTGCCTGGAAGGCGATTCAAAAAACGGGGCCTAGGAATAACCTTGAAATGCCTCGTCTCTAATATTCACCAACCTGTATCTTCAGCACCAGCTTGTATAGACGGATTAATTTTTTTGAGCTTGCTTCTTGTTGTTTCTGTACGGTTTTAGGTCTTTAGCTATTAGACTACACTAATGCTAGTCAGTTTGGTAGTCTTTTATGGATTTGTATACCATGCAATTATAATACTTTTTCTCAGAGTAGTAAGTTCTGTGCATACCAGTAGCTATCACATTACGAGGCAGAGAGTAAGCTGGTTGCAACAGGAGAAAACAAATACGAAATTCGAATGCTGAGAGAGAAGGATTATCTCAAGGACTAAATAGATAGATAAGTTAAATAATCGGTGTAGGCAGTTTGAGAATAAAGATATCACAAACAATTTGAGTTTGACAACGCCTTAACCAGTAAAACCTTTATAATTGAAATGTGTCAAAACAGGAGTCAAAGATGAAGCGTCTGGAAGATATATCTGCAAAGCTATCGATATATAGAGAAGCGTTTGGTCTAGGCTGGCAAGAGATATGTAGCACGGCGTACCCTCTCGTGATGTGGTGTAGATTTGTGACCAGTAAAACTAGTGCAGTCAGCATCAATGCTATGTACCCGCAGAATTATTTATTTTTGTCATTTACTTACAGCTACTAGAGTACTGATGAACGAAGGTGGAGACGGTCATAAGAATAAGTTGATGATACACAATGGTGATATCAGTAGGAAGGTTACGTGACATGCAGTGGGCACAACCATTTCAAGAGGTAGACGCTTATCCATGAATGAGCATGCGTTTGTCGATTCGTCTAAGATATTCTCATCTCTTTCGAAGAGAGTGGACCAAGAACATCCTCAACTGTGAAAAGAGGTCATGCGTGCATCCTAGTAAAATTAGAGATGGTTATAGGGTGATTGTGCCAAGTTGTTCCCAGATAGGCTGAATAGTTGCATTTCCTATGATTACAACCCCAATATTATTTGAGTTGGTGCTCAAGCTCTCTGCGGTTCTTAGCATGAAATAGCTCTCCGAGGGGAACATCGTGTGGATTTTCATAAAGTATTTTACGTGGTTGTGTTCCATAGAACTGGATGCACACGACATGATATTCTGACAATTGAAGTTTCAACCCATCGTCTTTCGCCTCTCCTTAACTGTTCCAAATACCATTTGAAGCTCAGGTTGGTCCTTTTGCTTTTGTAGACTTCCAGATCTTCTCGTCCTTTACAAAAGATTAGCGGTGCGGTGTTGATCTTCTCTAACAGTTCATTAATAAAGATTGGGGACGAGAGTCGACCTAAGATCGCTTCTTGTGAAATTTCATATGTTAAGACCCTGCAGCTCGCCTGAGCCATACTTACGTTTGTACGAAACATCCTGTTGTCAGAGTAGTTTAGGAGCCAAAACAGAAGTGGATGTGGGAAACCTATATTTGCAACCTATATAAAGAGCGAGTGCATTAGGGTTTAGAAGTTTTGTAATCATCGAAGAATATTAAATGAACCGGGATCTTCGTGTCCAAGCAGATCCTCCAGCTGTTGGATGCTATTAGGAAACCGTACGTTCACAATTTGAGATTATGTTCACCACTCTAGTTGCAAGGATAAATGCACCATTACTGACCCAATCTTCTATTCTACAGACCTTTAGAGATAGTGTGTCCTAATTGTACTTTGACTGCTAGCCTTGTCTAGAAATAACTTCCATCGTTACTAGCTTTGGCGTTTCGTCTATTTTCTTATGCTAGGTAGGAGCCACGGTCAGAATATTTTGAAAGATGTATCCATTCGTGACAATCTCTCCTTTCCGCCTGTAACAAGCGTCCTATGCCTCTCTCAACCACGGATCTTTTCTTTGCAGGTAATTTTTTTGATAGACGTACGTTGTGCAGAGTGTATGAATAATATGAATAATTATGAATAATATATTTTAGTATCTCTCGACCGTCATTCACTGTTAGAATCCATCACTCTCGTAGTCATTGAACTTTTTGAAGGTGCCTCCTCAATGTTGTGCAACCTGCCTTAGTTCAACAAAATGAGATAGGGCTCTCGTTCTCCAGACGCATTTTTTTTGTTACCGCGTTAAATATCACTGTCTCGTGATCACTATTCATTACTGGTGCTTGCATGTAGACATTGGCTAGAAGGAGATCATTCGTTAAGAAACAGTTTGATGTTGAGGGTTTTCCGCACTTATCCCTCTTCGTGGCTTTCTACACATGTTCAGTCAGCCCCAAGCTTCCAAAAGGTGTGAAAAGTCGCTCTTGAAACCACCATACGAGGGTTGTGTCCTACTTTCTAAGGGTAATGGTGGAAGTTTTGAGATCACCAGGTAGTAGTATTCGATCGAACCCCAGGCGTGGTAGTTACAATAACACGTAGATTACCTTAGATTCTTAGGAGTTTATACCTACAAGGGGTCACAACTTGATCTTCGGATCCAACCTAAAGAATACCTAACTGATTCCAAGGAAATAGTACAGTCAATCTGTTGGATTAATCCTAGCGAATCCAACAGGGATTGCGAGATTTTTATACCGTGGAGGAACGTAGCAAGGGTAGAGAAGCTGTAGCAGGATCAGAAGACATACCGTACACCAAAGTCATACATAAAAGTAATCGCAAAGACATCAAACTTTCCTCCAAAAAGATTCAGAAGAAAGAACAAGTACCAAGATACTGAAGAGAAGGATAGCTCATCAAGGTAACAATGAAATATCTTAGCAAATGTGATCAGTACAAAGGCATCACACTACTACCAGTATCAAGAAAAGTTTTCAAAATTTTTAAATCTAATGAAAAGTTTCGCAGACACCAAACTTCGAGGCCAACAGTCTGCTTTTTGTAAGAACCAATCATGGTCTGACCAAATAGCGACACATCAGATCGTTGTCAAATAATCAGTCGAATAGAACCTGTCATTTTACACCAACCTCCTTGGTTGTGACAAAGTGTTCGATCGCTTGAACACGGGAACCTCGCAGAACCCTTCTAGAAACTATGGAATCCCAGAGTAATTTGTCACTGTTCTACAAAACTCTTACAAGCGACTGGACTGCAAAGATAGTAGCACATGAATGTATTCAAAGTAGTAC